TAAGCTTTAAATAAATGAATGTGGGGTTACTTCATCAAAGCTAAGATGCTGTCATCTCTCGTGGGCATGAAAGACATACCACATTTGAAAAGAGTGGAAATATGCTGCTAATTAAATTGTAACATGCGATTCATAGGTAGTTGCACCCTGAATTCAAGGATGTCAGAATATTGGGGAGGGAGTGTATATGAGTTAGAAAACATGCTGTATCATGTCGGCTAAGTTAGAGTGTCCATCTTACGTTACCAGTAATAGTATAGACAGTCAAAAAATTTTGAAAATGTATAAATCACTTAAATTAAAAACACTTCCTCCAGTAAATTCTTCTGTGGATATGAGAACTTCTCCACCTATCAGGTTTTATCAGTAGCGGTGGGAGTAGCACAATTGCACGGAAACATGCGGAATTTCTTCCCAGAAAGAACAGTCTGGGCGGCAGGGATGATCGTGTTCTTTAGTCTCAGGCTGGAGGCTTGGCAACTGGCCGTGACAGTGAAGTCAAGACCTTCAGAGGTGAGTTGAGGCCTGGAGCTCCAGAGGGCTCTGCCAGTCTGGCCACCTATCAACACCAGCTGTCGTAGGCTGGGCAGGGGGACCCCATTTGCAGTCACTGGGCAGGTGACTGAACGCCAGTCCATTTCTTTCAACCCCTTAGCTGGCAGCATGGATCAGCAACTTAGGTAGATGGAAGGCTGACTAAACCTAGGCATGATTAGAGTCAGTGACCAGAAGGTGGAAGACCCCAGAATCCTTTGTGTTTTCCAGACCTTATGAATTTTAGGATATTTACAGAACATACACACACCACACAAACTCACACATTCATATTTGCACAAATATTTACACACTCTTGCACATATATTTAACACCTCCACATATACAAATCAGACACACACAAGTCACAGTCACACTCAAGTGCCTGCCTTTACAACCCCATGATGTCTGAAGATAGGAGCCTGTCAGCATAGGAATCATCCTGAAGCCTCTTAGTTTTCAATACTTCAAGTAGAATAAATTGTATCTGCTTTACAGGAAACTTATTTTCTATTGAAAAAGAAGGAAATCCCTGCTGATGTTCTAAGTTGTTGATGGGCTGTGGAAACTATGGGAGCTGGAAAGAATCTTTGGAATTGCAATTCCCC